TAAGCAGTTTTGTTTTCTGGGTGTGGTGACATAATCACAGCACAGAGGAGACTGAAGTGAGAGGATCACTGCAAGTTCAAGGCCAACTTAAACTGCAGTGAGAACTTGTCTCCAAAAAAAAAAAAAAGAATATTTTTGTTAAATCATTTAAAAGTTGAAATGGGCATGATGGTTCAGGTCTCTAATCCCAGCACTCAGGAGTCTGAGGCAAGAGGATTGCTGAATATTCAAGTCCAGCTTGGGCTACTTATTAAGTTCAAGGCCAAAGGCCCATGAGATAGCTCAGCGGACTAAGCACTTAGGTAAGCACAGGGGCCAGGGTTCCATCCCTGACACACATACCACACTCGCCCCGCCCCCAGGTACACTGAGCCAGTGATAGAGTCTGGGCATGGTGGCGCATGCCTATAATCCCAGCACTAGGGAGGCAGAAAACAGGAGGACCACGAGGAGTCCGAGCTGCATAGTGATACCCTGCACGAGAAAAAAAAAAAAAAAAGTTAAAGGCCAACCCAAGCTACATAGTAAGATCCTGTCTCAAAGACACCATAAATGAGTAAGAAATTTAAAAAGATGTAGCTCACTTCAGTCCCCAATATCACTAAATAAGTAGCTAGATTCCAATGTGACTAAATAAACAAATCTTAGTCAAGCTAGCTGCATTTCAAATACCTAATAAGTACTCATTGTTACTGTCTACCATATTGGACAGGAAATATCCAGAACATTTCCATTATCATAAAAAGTTCTATTGGACATGACCTAATATGTAAAATCCTAAAGTCTTTTATTATACCTTTTTTTAACATCTTGCTTTGAAATATATTTTATATGGATGGAAGCAAGTTCTGTAATTCCTCCATTTTCCCTGTAAATAAACATCTTACATAACCATGATACCAAAGCTGAGAAATTAGTGTTGACAGTTTTACTAACTAGGCTATAGATGTCACTAGTTTTTTCATTAATACTGCAAAAGGTGCCAAGTTGCATGTAGCACATTGATGTAAATATTTCAGTGAGTTGAAATGCCAGTCCACGTGACACAATGATACACAATGGTATGTGAGCCAAATCATTCCTATTGTGCATTTTTGCAGTATAAAGAATTGTTCGTTTGTGATCAGATCTTACTATGTAGCCCAGGCTGGTCTCTTAACTCCTGGCTTAAGTAATCCTACACACAGCATGCCTGCCTAACAATAGTGTTTATAGAAGAATAATGTAGCTGTGCATTGTGGCACATCCTGCAATCCCAGACTCTTGAGAGGCTGAGGCAAAAGAAATGCAAATTCAAGCCCCACCTGAAAAATTTAGGGATTTACTGAGACCCTATCTCAGTAAAAAATAAAATGGGGTTGTAAATATAGCTCAGTTGCAAAGGCCCTAGTTTCAATCTCCAGTAGCGCCCACCCTATTATACATACTAAACAATCTATAACAGCACTAAGAAGCTGAGGTAGGACAATCATTGGGAATTTAAGACCAGCTTGAACTACACAGCGAAATACAGTCTCCAAAAATAAAATAATAGTATGTGACACAGAAAATTTTGAAGTTCAAATTTGTGTTCATAAGGAAAGTTCCATTGATGTCTCATCTGTGTTGCTGGAGGTAAAACATTCTAGGACAGAAACTTCCAAGTTTACCTGAGTTCAATCCCAGTTCTGAAAAAAAAAAAAAAAAAAAAACCACAGAAAAGAAAAGAAATTTCCAAGTTTTAACAGGAATTCACTGTTATCTTTACCTACTTCTGTAATGTGTAGATATAATAAACACAAATTGTAAGTATTTATTTGCTGAAGTGATCAAATATTTTTATACTGTAAAAAGTTTCTCTTGTGCTAACATTCAATTGATAGTTTTGCTTTGTTTTGTTTTTTTAGTTTTTAAAGATTGTCATATCCCAATGAATAGGAAGTACTTTTAAGTTTCATTTTTGTAGCAGTGATAATTCAGTTAAAATACTGTGATATTTTAGTTGATGAATTTTTACAAAGGCCAGAATGAAGATTCAGAAAAAGATGGAAGTTTTTATTTCATGAAAAGATAGAAAATCTAAAGCTAGTTTTATAGCCAGGGGTATAGTGGAAGGAGTTGGCTGATTAGACTCAGAATTAGCATTGAAGTTTAACATTAAGAATTTATTAAAAGAGAATATTACTAAATGCAGGTCATTTAGAATTGATTTCCTCCTCCTTTCATTACACAGCATCCCTTTACTTCATCCTAAACCTCTTTTAGAGCCTGAGTTTTATTCTTTTTCCTGATTCATTTTGTGTTCCATACTGCTGTTTGCTTTCCTTCCTGCTGCCTTTTGTTTTTTCTCTGTCTACTGATCTTTCTTTACTTTTTCATTCCCTCTTTTTCAGTCCCTGACCTACATTTTCTTTTATTTTCTACATTTTGTCAAATTATGATAAGGTGAGTTTCAAACATTGTTACTTTAGTCCTGAATACTTTGTCATGCAGGTTCTCAAAACAGTAATGTTTGTCTTCACAGCTGTACCACTGCTACTACACTCAAGAAAAGCATCTTCTTGGTACTCAACTCTCTAATACATCCTTTATGTCATTTCTTTTCATATATGAAATTCATATTGTATTATATTAATAGGTACTCAGTGACAGATTGCTATTAGCTGTGGAAAGGATGCTTAGTTAAAAATGGGGAGGGACCAGGGAGATAGCTCAGTGGAATAAGCGCTTGCCTGGCAAGCACAAGGGCCTGAGTTCAATCCCCAGTTCTGCAAAAAAAAAAAAAAAAAAAAAAAAGGAAAGTAATTAGTTAAAATGGGAATACTACATTTTTTTTTATACTATGGAAGCTTTTATAGAGACTTTTTTCCCCCTATCAGTTTTTGATTTTGGGTTTTTTTCTAGTACTGGGGTTGAACCCAGGGTCTTTTCACTGAGCTATATTCCTAGTCCTTTAAAAAATTTTTTGTTTCTTTTTTTTATTTTTAGAGAGTCTCTTGCCAAATAGCATGGGCTAGGCTCAAATTTGTGATCCTCCTGCCTCACTTCTTGAGTTGTAGGTATATGCCACCATGCCTGGCTCCTATAGATTTTTAATGATAAAATTTTTATACAACTTCTTGGCCTTAGCCCTGTTTAAATTCTAGCTACATGTAGTTTATAATAGCTAACAAAAGACCAAATAATAAAATTAATTATAAAAATATTTTCCTAAAGTTTTTTTTTATAAGGTTGTCTTTTAGTTGTAACCCATCCCTAGGTATTTTTTTTTTTTAATTTGTATGTTCTAGATTTACATGACGATCATATTCATCATAGGGAATTTTTACCTTGCTGCTCTATTTTCCATTCCCCTCCTCTCCCTTTAATCCCTCTTCCCTCCTTATTTACAAAAGGTTTATTTCCATTTTTCTCTTGTTATTTTTTCTTTTTCCCTTCCTTATAGTTGTCTTTAGATAATAAAGAAATGACAAATGGACTGAAAGAAATGACCAAGTTGTTGTTGTTATTATGATTATTATTATTATTATTTTGATATAGGGTCTTGCTACATTGTTCAAGCTGGCCCAGACTCACTATGTAGCCCAGGCTGGCCTATATTCACAGTGATCCTCCTACCTCAGTCTTCTGAGTGCTGGGATTACAGGTGTGTGCCACCATGCCTGGCAAGATTTTTTTTAACTAATTAAAAAAATTTGCGGTATATGTGGGACCTCTGAATACTAGCTTTGTGTAAGTATGACTCTAGGTAACTCTTGTAAGTTATGGTCTTCTACATTGTAGGTATTGTCAATATGGACTCGCCATACGGTTCTGTAACACCTTCTTCTACACATTTGGGAAACTTTGCCTCAAACCTTTCAGGAGGTCAGATGTATGGACCTGTGGCACCCCTTGGAGGAGCACCTGCAGCTGCTAACTTTAACAGACAACATTTTTCTCCACTCAGTTTGTTGACTCCGTGTTCATCAGCATCCAGTGGTAAGTACTACATACGTAATTTCAAGTGAAGAATTTCAAGAATGCTTTTTTGTACAATGATCAGATCTAGGGCCTGATGCCTACTGTTTGACCACTGATTTATATCCCAACCGTATGTGTTTCTTTGACAATACAAGGTTTTAGCCTACTGCAGTGGTACACACCTATAATTCTAAGTACTTGAGGAGCTAAAGGTAAGAGGATCAAGAGTTTAAGGCCAACATGAGGAATATAGAGGGGCCCAATCTCAAAAAGAAAAAAAGTTTTAAGTTTTTTAATTATTGTAATCAGTGAGTTTTTTTAAATTATTGGACAATGAGTTTTGTTGTTGGAGTTTTGGTTTTTTGAGTGTGATGCTGAGGCCTGAAACACAGTCTCATGCCTGCCTTCTGGACAAGCTGTACAACTGACCCATATCCACACTCCAAACCCACTCTGTTAATTCACTTTGTATATGTATATGCAGTACTAGGAATTGAATTTGGGGCCTTTTCCAGACCTTTTTATTTTTGAGGCAAGGTCTTACTAAGTTGTCCAGTTGTGTAGGGATTACAGACATATACCACTGTGCCTAACCTTTTATTTTGTGAGTACAACTACAGAGAAGAAATAATTCCAACTTTCAAAGTATAAATATCATTGCCCTTTTTATTCAACTTTAAATTTACTATATAAATAGTACAACTGATTTTACATTGTCAGATGTGAGTTTTTAAGTCAGATTCTGAAGCAGTGATTAAGATTTTCAAACTAAGAAATGTCAGTTACCAGCTTGAATTAGAGAATTCTGTAGTAAAGTTAGGTGTTTTTTGTTCATTTGTTACAATTTTTTAGAAAGGAGAGGCACAACAAAGATCTCAATTTGCTTTCTCCTCTGACTTTTAAATTATCAGATTTCTTCTAGTTTATATTGACAGAATAATTAATAGCAAGCCTGTGTGACTTGAGAGAGCAAAAAATATTTAAATATTTGAGAAACACTCAAAGTATATTGTTGTCTTAGTTGCTTGTTACTGGAACACAGTATCCAACATCTGAAAGTTAAGGAGGAAATACTCGGGTCTCTGTTTCCAATCAGCTGATGTGGCATGGCAGTGAAGAAGCAGAGAGAGATCAAGGGAGGAGAAAAGGTGTATGTCCTTTCAGACTGTAACCTACCTCTTTTTATCAGGCTTCACCTGACATCATAACCAGCTATGAGCCCATCAGCTATGAATCCAGTGACGAGGTTACTCATCCCTGACCCAGTCATCTCCCTGAAACCCCACTCATGGGCATAGGAAGCTTTAGGGGGAACATATAGGCAATAAACCATAACATTCTTCCCTGGGCTCTAAAAGACATACACACATCCATTTATGCAAAATGCTTATTTTCATCCATCAGTAAGAGTTGCCTAAGTCCTAACAGTTTCAACATTGCTGAAAGTCCAAGTCCAGAGACTCCCCTAAGACTCAAGGTAGTGTCTTAGCTGTGATCCCTGTAAAAATGAAAAGAGAGCCAAGTATGCTTTCTTATAATCCCAGCATTCAGGAAGCTGAGGCAGGACAATTGCTGCCTTCAAACCCTTGGGCTGCATAATGAGACCCTGTCTCCAAAAAAAAAAAAAAGTTAAAACATTTCTAACATAAAAACATTCCCACAGAGGGATAAATGGAGGATAGAAAAAAATGGGATGAAAGAAGACCAAAATACAGCAGGACAAACAGTAAATCCTACACTTAATGTCCATTACCTAGGATAATATGGCAAATTATGTACTCCAGAGGGCTTAGCATTACCACTGCAAAGTGGTTGGAATTCTCAAGGCCTCCGTCTTGACCTAGATTTGCTTACTCCTCACATCTTTCCTCAGACAATCTGCATTCCTGGCTTTCCCAACTTCGTAGGGTCTCCACAGCACCTCTAACTTCACTTCTACAGCTTCGTGATCTCTCAGAGGCGCTCTTGCCTGGCCTTTCAGACTTTCTGAAATCTGGGTGAAAGCCTTCCTGACTCCATAATTCTTACCTTCTGCATGTTCCCAAAACCAGTGCCACATGGATGACATCAAGGGCTGCTGCCAGCTGGAGCAGTAGCTGAGCCCTTTTGCGTCTTGCTGGTCATTGCAGAGACTCTTAAAGTCTGGATTGCTGAGCACTGATTCACAGTGAATGAATTCTGGGAGATCAGTTCCTACCCCTAGGCTACCACCATTCTGGAGCACAGAGCCCTGGGCTCACTTCTCAACAAAGTCTTTCCAGCTTTGCAAGTTTGAGGCTGCAAAAAGTGGGACTTTGCTTGTGCCTCTGTACTGTCTTTGCTATGGCCCAGTTCAAAAGTAGTTGGCTTTTTAATGCTAATCTGTGTAGCAACCAACTTTCCCTCTGTTCCATCTTTTTTTTTTTTTTTTGTATTTAGGACAGGGTCTCACTTCCTAGATCGGACTCATAGTGATCCTCCTGTTTACAGCCTCCCAAGTGCTGGGATTACAGGTGCATGCCACTATGCCCAGTCTCAATCACTGCCTCAGCAAACCCTGGGGGCGGGGCCAGAACAGCAGGCCCAGGGATCCAACTCCCTCCCCCTACATCTGCCTAAGCAGGCACTTTAATCCGCTGTGCTATTTGGCTGGCCCTCCTCTGTTCTATCTTTTCAGGACACAGTTTTATTATAGGTTCCTGTTCTGCCAAACTTGAAAGTTGGCAGATTATTCTGCTAGACAATTTATTCTTGATTCTCAAGGTAGAGTTGGCTATAAGTCCCAGCAGTAGCCAGGCCACTGCCTTAACATTAGACTGTCTTGAAATTTACTCCACCAGATTAATTAGTGAACTCCCTTTAGTCTCCTCTGATATCTCAGGACAGGAACAAGATGCAGACAAGTTTTCTGCCAGAATATAACACACATGGTCTGGGTTCCAGTTGTCAGTGCAATCATTGTTCCCAACTGAAGCCTCCTGATCCTGGCATTTCTGTTAGCATTCTGGTGTTCTGAGCTCTGTAAAGACTCTCCCATCAAGCTTGATTCATAGCATTCTAAGACTTTCTCCAGTCAGTTTCTCCAAACTTTTCCCACAAGCCAGTTCTAAAGGCTTCTTGAACCATACAGCCAGGTAGTATCTCAGTAGTGACCCCACTTCTCTGTTACCAAAATCTGTCTTAGGTCCTTTTTTTTGTCTTGAGACAGGATCTTGCTGTGTAGTTCAGGTTGGCCTTGAACTCACTACAGAGGCCAGGTTGGCCTACAACTCATGGTGATCCTCTTGCCTCAGTCTTCCAAGTGCTGAGATGATAGGTATGCGTCATCACGCCTAGCTTTTTATTTACTTTTTTATCACTAGAACACAATATTTGACACCCAAAAATTAAATGAGGAGGGAATATTAGCTCAGTTTATAGAAGGTTCAGTCCATAATCAACTGGCTCCAATACAGGGTGGCATGGCAGAGGGCATCACAGAGGAGAAAGAGCTCATAGCATGGGAGGCAGGATGCACAGATAGATTAAGGCAGGAAGAGGGCGATATACTTCTGGGCCATGCCCTCAGTGACCCATCTTTTCCTAGCAGGCTTTACTTCCCAACATGACACCCAGCTATAAAGCCATCAGTGTGCTAATCTAGTATCATACAGCCATAGTTGCATCACCTTCCCGAAGTACCACCTGTGAATGCATGAGGCTGTGAGGGGACATCTAGCTAATCATAATTGTAATAAAGCATAAAGTAAAGCAAGAGTGGAGTCTTATGTTCACCATCCCAGCACTCAGTAGGCTGTAGCTCAGGAGCACTGAGACTTCTAAGACTAGCCTGGATGATTTACACAACAAAGAATCTCAAAAAGCAATGATAAATAAATTACATAAAAGAAGTGCCAGGTGTAGGGAAACATATCTTGATCCCAGCAGTTTAAGAGGCAGTGGCAGGAGGATTGCAAATTCAACCCAGCCCTGGGCAACTTAGTGATTTAACTGTGGGCTGTCTCAAAAATAAAAAGGGGGCAGTGTGGATGTAGCTCTGTATGAAAGCCCTAAATTCAGTAATCAGTGCCACTGAAAGAAATAAAATTCCATCTCCAGTAGCAACAAAAAAGAGAAAGGCAGACAGGCAAGCAGGCTAGTTATATCCTACTGTGAATTAGCTTCACTTATTGAAGCTGTATTAAATATAACAAATTTCTATATGTAGTAAAGGAATATATATATATATATATATTAATACAGATATATTAGGGAGGATTCATAGTTGTATAGTGAAGAGTGAAAGGTTATAGTATCAAGATTTATATTTTAGCATATTCAGGGGCTCCCTTTTTTAAGATAGGACCTTAACTATGCAGTTCAGGCTGGCCTTGAACACACAGCAATCCTGCCTCAGCCACTTGCATTACTGGGATTACAGGTGTATGTTGCTAGACATTTTGAAGAGATTTTATGTCACGTATGGTAATATAAAAATAAACCAAGAGGAAAGTAGAAATTACCAAAGAATTCTTCATAAGATAGCTACTAGCCACATGTTTAAAAATCATAGTAATTTATTAAGTACTGAGCACTGTTGAAGTGATTTGCTACCCCAATAGCTCTTGTCAGCAGAACCCCAGCATGAACAGGTGTGTGATTCCAGTGTTTCCTTGTTCTTACACATAACGCCCACTGCCTAGGACTTGCACAAGGAAGTAGAAATAATGCGTTCATTGTCTGCTGCCATTGCTGTTGGTTTAAACCTTCAGGGGTGGGGTGAAGGTGATGATAACAGCAGTACTTATATGACAGTATAGTGAAACCTGAGAAAGAAACAGAAGCATGCTGTGAGAGGCATACTCACATCCTGGATTCTGTAGTGAAGTCTCAGGAGTCAGTGCAAGGGACTTTAACCAGTGATTTAAAAAGTCACAAATACATTGTTTTTCCTTTGGTTCTCGTGTGTGTGTGTGTGTGTGTGTGTGTGTGTGTGTGTGTGTGTGTTTACATTATATTTTGTAGAATGATTTTTTTCTGTATAATTTTTTTGGTATTCC